CAGCGTTGTTGGCCCTGACAGTAACCAGACCATGCTCCTCTGTCAACAGTTTTTGAAAGAGCCTTTGTAAAAATGCAAAGTTGACTTTACTAAGAGTCAACAGGTAGGGAGAGCACCTTCCTTTCCTTAATTTGGCACTGGTGGGAGGCTGTGGATTCGTGAGGGGAAGCATCCCCCCTGCATCCAGTTCCTTGCTCAGCGGGGAGTCGGCTTGTCCCTCTCCCTACCACTCCCCCTGCTTGTTCTCTCGCTGTCAAATAATTAAAAAAAAAAAAAAAGTTACTCCAATCAGTTGACCAAGTGACTTGCCCAGACACCCAGCTGGACCAAATGAAGAATCCTGCAGAAGGGACACAAAACCAGAGTACAGGTAGAGGTTGCAAGCTAGCTGTAGCCGACGCCACGGTGGAGGCCATGGTAGACTGCACAACACCTATCTTAAGGCAGGCACCCAAGCATCTAACCTCGCCAACTACCATCATGCAGGAAGGTGGGGTGCTGTTGCTGCCTGATATTTTAAGAGGCTGGAAATCTGGATCTTTATAATTCGTCCAGTTTCAAAAATGTACCTGTGCAAGCGCTCACAGATAAGACTACCGGTTAGTTGACTTGGATCCAATAGCCCAGCCTAGGCAGCGCCCCTGGAAAACCAAGCTCAGCCAGAGTTAAACATAACTCCCTTCCCCCAAAGAGGCTACACTGGCTGAATGACTGCCAACTCTGCCCTCCCTGAGCACATCCGAACAGAAAAGCTTCTTCATCTTGTGACTGCTATCAACCATTACCTCCACTCAGGCTCGCCACAGCTGTGCCCTCTATCTTCACATCAGTCCTTAGTACCCCACTCTCAAAACCACCTCCTACCCTTAATTTTGCTTCTGTTAGCTCTGCTCCTGAACTTTCCAACCCCTCCCCCAGCTCCAATTCACCTGGTGCCCTATCCTGAGCCAGCCCAGGTGTCACCTCTCCCTTCTCTTCAGCTCCTTGCCCCTGCACGCTGCTCACCAGTCCTCTGCTGCCTCACACTCGCTGCCACAGGAACCCCATCTCTTTCTGCAACGTTTGCCACCAGGCACAAATGACCTCTGCACTGCCTAGTTGACAAATCCCCCACTCTACATTATCTGTTAGCCATTTTGGTGAAAACTGACACCAGCAGTCCTGAATCCCCCACTCCTCCACTCTCTCCTGCCAGTACAGACAGGCTTATGTCCTGGCCCTATCAAGGGAAACCACAGGGCCATGGGTTCCGCAAACCCAAAAGCACAGCCTGAGCTTAGCTCCAAGTGAAGCAACTACACCCACCATCAGCAGGTCTCAGCCAGCAGGTCCAGCCCTCACATCCCTGCTCTCTGGTCTGCACGTCCTTCTTCAGTCAAGGCCTCTCACCATGTTCTCCAAAACATGCAACCATTCTTTCCATCATCCTCTCATGCCTTCTGCTACCACAATTTTTGTTTCTTCCTGAATCCCATCTACCCAACCAAGCAGGTTTTTCACTCCTTCACAACTTCCTGAGGTTTCTCTGGTGCTTTTCATCCACTTACATGGTTCCTAATCATATTTATAAGCTTGACTCCCAGATGGATCCATGTATCCTACACCAACTCTGGGGGAAAATGGAATCCAAACCCCTTAAGCCATTAATGCCTCTTCACCCCATTCCCAAATACGCAAGCTCTCCAACTCCTACACTTTCTACCCTCTCAAAAGGCATCCCAACCCTCACAGTAACCCTAAAACAACTGCTCCTCAAATCCCTCAAAACCAGGGCGCCTGGGGGGCTGTCGGTTAAGCATCTGCCTTTGGCTCAGGTCATGATCCCAGGGTCCATAAGCACAACCTGAGCTGAGCATCAGGTTCCCTGCTCCGCAGAGAGCCTGCTTCTCCCTCTCCCTCTGCTACTCCCCGTTCTCTCTCTCAACTAAATAAAATCTTTAAAAAAAAATCTCTCAAAGTCACATAGTTGACCAATAACCCACAGCTCAGGTCCACAACCCTGATGCCTGAAAAAACCAAACTCAGAACTGGCATCCAGCAAAGAAAAAGTGACACTACATAACCCTCCATGTTTCACCAAAAGCATGTAGATATACCAAGCAATTACACACTACATCCAAATATTCATTATACTAACTTCTTTCAACTCCCCACTCATAATACACCATTCACTTATCCCATAAGCACAAACCTACAATGCACAGATGATTTTGGCAGATCCTATAATGAATATGTGATCTAATAATTTTCTGAGGCCAGCAAATAATTTTTCAGTAATAAGAACGATGTCAGGTTCTAGGAAGACCAAAAGGAATTCAGATTTCAAGTGTGTCTTTCAGATACTGACCAACTAGACTGATGGCAATACGAGCACACCAGACTGGCACTATATGCTCTCATGTTGCTGGTACCCTACACCCACATCTTTGTGCTACTAAAAGGAACAACAATCATACCAAGTTTTCACTAAAAGCGTACTGGAACATGTGAACTTGGGCAGCAACCTAAATCTGCTCTAACAGCAGAGTGATTTCATAACGCTCCCAGTAAACTTTAAATACATTTCAAACAACCAGACATATTAACATTCTTAGTTTATTGATCCTCTCATGAAAAATCTGCACAACCACCACAGATAAAGCCACTGCAGCATCTTTACTCCTTCTGTGAAACAAAGAAAAGGAAAAATTTAGTTAGTGAACCGCCTTTAAAACTCTTCTAAAAGTTAAAATTTAAAATCTTCAGCAAACTCCAAAATTAATGACATTCATGCAAAACAAGTATTAGTGACATAAAATGTTAAGTTTGTGATCGTAACACAATGAGAACATCAAGAAATAAAACTTGCAAACTTTCACATTAGAAATGAAACAAAGAATTAAAATTACTGTTTTAAAAACAAAACCATGTCACTACCAGTATTTAAAAAGCTACGATTCTTAAAAGGATTTGTAAATCAACTTCTAAAACTACTTCACATGCAAAAACACAAAAAACAAAACTTTTTCACATGCTCTAAACTTCCGAATTACTGTTATCAGTAAAGCCTAATGATCCACATGAAAAGCTTGAATTATACCTGTTGTCCAATCTCCAGCTCACTGAATCAGTGGCAGGGAAGGGAGAAAGCAGGGAAGAAGGAAAAGAAATACTTCATTAATAGTCCCTTTTCAAACTCCAAAATAATCTGCATTTACATGCATGCAATCAGATACCTTAGAAATAACTGTTTTTTTTTTTTAATTGTATACAAAGCGCTCTTCAGACACACTCATTTTTATTCTTCCCAATTTGGAGAATACCTCATGTGATTAGAGTGGTTCTTATGTAAACAAAGTGGCATGATGGTTTTACAATGAGGAGATCACCACACCAACAGCAGTGCCAATCCAGGCTACCACTGCCTACGCATACATGAAGTACACGTACCTGACCCTCAGCCCTCCTCCTCTGCTCAGCAACATCATGCTGGGCACACAAGCACCATCAAAAGACCCGGGAATCATCCCACACTAGAGTCTAACCTCAAAGAGAGAGTTCTAAATGATCACGCAAGTCTTTTAAAACCTGTCTCAGCTCAGTGCTTTAAAAGCTACTGTTCACAGCCACCAAAAGTAGTGCAAATTAGTTTTTTAAAAAGGCAGAACTGGACTGAAATGAAAATGCTTCAAATGCTCTTTAAACAAGAAACTATTTATTCCTTAACTTAAAACAACTCTACTGTACCCAAAAGGTAAGAGCAAATACCAATTCCAACACCCAAACAAGAACAGTTAAAAGTAACATTAGTAAGCCTGGCTATTTTGAGCCAAAGAATACATGGGCTCATTTACGCATTCATTTCCCAGCCAGTTTTCCAGAGCTATGCTAGTGAAATGCACCAGTGCAACCTGAAGCAGAAGTAGTGATGGCTCAGGTCCCCACAGGGACCGCCTCCACACGTCACCAGCGAAGACTAACGAGCACAAACACATGGGGCCCAAAAACCGAATGAAAACAAGAATGGGTTAAACATCCTTGGTTCTAGATCAGTCCACTGACTGAATCTTTTTTGCAACCTCGGCAACTTGTTGATAGGTATAAGCCTCACAAAGAGGGAGCAGTTCTAAGCAGCAAGTAGTTCCTCTGGCAGTTCATCCGTTACTAGGATTCCGTGGCTGGAAAGACAATGTGATTGGAGGCCTGGGCAGGCATACCAGATTTACTGCCTGGCAGGAGTCATTGTTAGAGAAAGCACACAGGGGCAGTGACTACCAGTGTTTCAAAACCCTACTAACCCCCAACCCCTCTAGGCTCACCTTACATGCTGATTTAGGCTGCTCAAATGTGCAAAAATGTATTTAACATGGGGTTGTAGACCATTCTGACCAAAAACTTATGGAAAAAGCGTATTTATCAGAGGCTTTGGTGTGAATACATAATTACCTTGGAATTGTTTCAATTGAAAGAAAAATGGACATCAGATGAAAAATTAGAGATCAATAAAAAGCAATGTAACAGTAAAAGGCAGCTTTGACTGAACACTTCCTGAACATAGGCTTTGCCAGATTTCCTAGACCAGTTTATTACCAGAGCTGCCAAAGGTATCAACCAGTACCCAGGGTCCCCAAGGGAAAGACTGTTGATGACAAAATGAGGCCCCTTCCCAAGCCCTGTGTTAACTAAAGCCGTTTCCGGGTATGTAACTCTGGGACACAGCATTTCCAAGTACAAGTTAAAAGATGCCTACTTAGTAGAGTACCCACCTTCCTCCACCAGGTCACTTCTCAACGTAACATGCATTTTTGAATTTCCAAAATAAACGTGATTAAAAGTTTCTCTCCCTTCCTCATAATACGCCATTTTAAAACAAAGCATTTAAATTGTAAGAGATCATACTACATAAAACTCTTGTTGTCCAAAAGCCAACATGCAAAGCATCAAAGCAAATTCAGTGAAGGTGATGCATCCCCACACCGTGCTCACAATCTCAGTACCTGCTAGACACTTCATTTCTGATGAACAAGAAATCCAAGAAAGTAGAGGGGAAAAGGCAAAAAAAAAAAAAAAAAAAGTTCACAGAACACTTGATTATTTGTTAATTTAACAACCCAACACCTTAATTTCATTCAACTATTATTTACAGTTAGCTAGCAAAGCTGGTAAAAAGCTGCTTATCATTAAAATCACTTAAATCTTGGCTAACTGGAGAGGAAAGCAAGTGAGATCCCAACTGCCTCTCCAGCATGCCAGGGAAACATGGGCCACATTGATTCAACTGCTTCTTAAACAAGTTATCTGTTTTAAACAAGTAAGTTTAATCTTCCCCTTTAACAGTCCAAACCAATTTGCAGTAAAATGAACACTTTTCCTGACAGGGCTTCCAAGGTGCCCACTAGGATCACTGAACCGATGTGGCCCCTGTGTTGTGCTGATCTGTGAGCTGATAGAGTGGGCAAAGCTACTCTAGTGAGGTGTTATACTACATCATGTAGCGTCTCAAAACACGTTACCTTCTGTAATCCAGAAGAAGTGGGAAAAGAAAAAACATTAAAAAAAGATTATTAAAAAACAAATCCCTCCTTTCTAGAAACTAAAGACCTGCAATTGACATTTCTGTATTCTCCTTGATGAACAATACCTTTTTGCCAGCACCAACGTTGGCTTTTGCAGTCCCCCTGACTTTCTTCATTCTGTTCTTACGTTCCTTTCGCTGTTTTCTTGATGTCTTTTTCTTCTCATACAGGCCATGCTAAAGAAAAAAGGAGTACCTTTTAAGTGACTTGCAAACATCAACTCAGCATTAACTAATATGGGAGGGACCATAACCAAGTCAGGTAGCTCAAGAAATGCAGCTTCCCAAATCAAAATTGTTTCAACTACATTTAACAATACTTGTTTGTACATTTTAAAACAGGAAAGGTAATCCAATTGAGACACAGTATGTACAAATCAGCGGCACAGTACTCAGATGTGCTCTCAACACTCCAACCAACTCATCTTCACTCTGCCCATTTTTGCACTTGCCGTTCCTGCTGCCCAGACTGCTCCCAAATCTTCACACAGATCTCAGCTTAAAGGTCACCTCCTCAACAAGGCCTCTCAGACCACCCAACTAGAGTGCAGCATCTGTCTACCACACCACCATGATTTCCCTCTCACGGTGTTCTCCTGGAAGACTTATCTGATGGCAGTGAAGAAGAGTTAGAGAAAATCATAAGTAGTACTTCAAAATAATAATCTGCAGTTTATGATCTACAATCTAAGGGCGCCTGCTCAACTCCTTGCCGTAGTTCACTGTAGTGCTTGTCACTTAGGAAATGATCAAACTCAGACTTTTAGAACTGAGAATCTCAACTGGGTGCCAACCCTTCCAAACCCATCCCCCTATTTCCAGCTCCTATCTCCACAAGTACTACATTACTTGTCCTTCTAGACCCAGCTCAAAGGTCACCTCCTCAAAAGCTGCAGACCCCATTACTGAAGCCCTGTACTCTATCTATATATTTATCAAACAACCTTCTCTCTTAACCACTTTAGTTCCTTAAGTCTGAGGGCTGTCGTTCCCCAGACTGCTTGCTCTTGCTCATTCCACTGCACCCACAACACAATGCTATTGAAAAACAGTCTTCAGCAGCTGTTGAACAATGAGAACACCTACTCTTGCAAGTCTGTGTTTGGGTTCATTTTTCTTTGCATAATCCAAAGAATCATAAATCATGCCAAAGCCGGTTGTCTTGCCACCACCAAAATGGGTTCTGAATCCAAACACAAATATGACATCTGGTGTGGTCTTGTACATTTTGGCTAGTTTTTCCCGAATTTCTGTCTTAGGTACCGTTGCCTTTCCAGGGTGAAGAACATCAATGACCTAAAAAGAAGTAACCGCTGTTAGTGCTTATTATTACAAAATGAGTTTTTTGAAACAACAAACAATGAAACTTTGATGTGCCCTTTCTTACCATCTGTTTCCGCTGAAGTAGTCGGTTAGTCATGAACTTCCTGGTCCGGATAGTTACTGTGTCATTCTAAAAACACACATAATGCACTAGTTAATGAACCACTCAACCTTTTCTTGAGCCTGCTGAGATTTTTCCAAGATACGGCACTGCCAATGGGTACCCAAGCCATATGTGGACAACTTATAAACATGAAGTCACATTTAAGATGCAATTCCGCAGCTGCAGGCGCCACATTTCAAAATGTTCAAGAACCACACGAGATAGTAGCGGGAATGCTTCCATGAAAAGAAAAACCCACACCCCCCCCAGTGCCTAACTCCTAAGACACGTCTAACACTTACGCTCAGTACTAAGAGAACGCACTCCACAGCTTTCTGGAATCTTCACTTTGCTGTAGGCATCACTTTGGAGCAGGGTTTCTCAATCTCAACACTACTACTCTGGTCCCACTACTTCTCTGTGGGGACTAACCACTAGAGGCCAGTAGCACCCCCCAACTCCAGTTTTGATCAAAAATCCCTCCAGATTTTGCACGGTCCCCTTAGGAGCAATTAAAAAAAAAAAACACCCTGAGGGGACTTGCAGATAAAGTCGAATTAGAAATAGGTGCTGAACCTTTACTGACTAGAGCTCACTCCTCATGTACTTAAGGCAAGCTTTCTGGAGGCCTCCCTTTACAAGGGCCTCGGTTTCCGCAAAGTACAAGAGGTTCCGTACGGCTAACAATGTTTTAGCTTACACATGGGAACAGCTTCACTCGCCACAACTCGCCCGGGCGCCCTCGGCACCCACTTCACCTCTTGGGTTGCCATCACCTCCAAGCCATCTATCCCAAACTGAGAACGCAGGTGAGATGGGTCTCACCCCTCCCCGCCCAATCCACTAGGCTCCACGAAGCCGAAAAACGCAACAGGTGCCCTCGCAGTCCCCAAACCCTGGCCTCTGAAGCCCGGTGTGCCCCGGCTCCGGGACTCTCGGCAACCAGCCTCCGTCAGACACAGCCAAAAAAAGAGCGACGGGACTTCGGGCGGCCGTAGCACAAACGGCAGGACCCGAAGACGAAGGATGTCTCAGATACGGGCCGGATAACTGCATGGGTTTGGGGAGACTCACCATGATGGCGGCGAGGCTTCAAGCAGCCGGGGAGAAAAAGAGAACCACTATTCGCCGGCCAATCATATCAATGCGCACGGAAGGCCCCCGAGCGGCGCCGGCGTGGGGGCGTGGTCAGGCCCTCGAGGGCGGCCGCGCCAATGCCGGATCGAAAGTGCCTAAGGCCCGCCCCCACGGATCTCCCGCGGACTAGATTTACGCAAGCACATGTTCAATTTCAGTTCAATTGGCTGTCCTGAATTTCCCGTACTTAGAGTTATGGTAAACCGAATTATAGTTTAGGAGATGCTGTCGACCAGCCTCCTCATTTTATAACGAGGGAAACTGCAGAAACCCGACTCAAAACCTTTGTTATTTCAACAACACAAAACTGACCGTTTTAGTTTATTGCTAAGTATTGCTTTTTTTTTTTTTTAGATTCTCTGGTAATTTTATGTATGAAAAATAAAAAATTCTTCCTTTGTGTTTTTCTGAAAATCTTAGTCCTTCCCCTCACAAATGAGCTTTTATCAGTGTTTGATCTATAAATTGTTAGTTGTTTAAAATGACGTGGTCATGCAAAAATAAAGAACATACGTGCATGTTCAAAAAGAGACATTAGGACTTCTAAAGGTCAGTGTGGCAGAGGAGACAAAGGTGAAGGCTTTGAGGATAGCTTTTCTACATTTTTCAGAATAACAATAGTTAATATTCATTGAGTGACTGCTATGTGCCTGTTACATTCTAATTACTTTCACACTCATTTTGCCATTTGACCTTCCCACTTACTCTAAGAAGTAAGGTACTGATTACTTACCCCCTTTACAAGATGGGGAAACTAAGACACAATGAGGCTAAATAACATTCTCAAGGTCACAAGACTTTAGGTGGTTGTACCCAGGGAGGCACGGTGGTTCCAGAACCTTGCTTCTAACCTCTATATGATAAAAGCCACTCGTCCAATCTTGTTAGTATAGTATTGTCTACATTATTCCAAAGGGATTTTAAGTGATTAACTGCTGAAATAAGTAAAGTCTGATTTGCTTTGCTTTTTGTCTGTTACATTTGTGTTTTCCTATTGAGGATGCATGGAGTTTGAATAGCATCCCTTCTTAAAACTCAAAGGTGTTGAACCACTTGATTTGGTTCTGTCTAGAGTGTCTCACAAATAGTAAAGAAGTTTCAGGATCTGTAGCACTAGATCCTACAGTAGTGTGGTTTCCTTGGTAGTATCATGTGCTGAGATGTCACACTAGGATCACCTCCCACAGGTTGTCACAGACTGTGGGCAAGCAGTTTATTTCTTCAATACATTAACGATCTTCAATTCTTATTCTCCCCTCATCTTGTTTCCCTTGCTCACCATGACTGACTTTTCGCAGATTTATAGCTTCTGTTTTTGTTATCAATAATACAAGTTTAATTCATTTCTTTCATTTCTTTTTTAAAGTAACTTTGTAAACTGCATGCATGGCCGTGTTTCTGACCTCTTTATTTCCTTTGGTGGTCTTCCAGTTGGTACCTCTGTTCCCTGGGCAGGTTCATTTTAGTCTCCCCCTTTACTTAAAAAAAATCAGAGGGTCTTAATTAAGATGGTTTTGATGTTGATAATGACGATTTTCCATTTTATGCAGTTTTGGTCTCTCTGATTGCCTAAAAGTTCTGAGGCAAGGCGTTGCAAGCACTCGGCAGGGGTCACATGACCTGGAGAACCGAACCGCTAAAGGGCTTTTGAAATTACAGAACAGGCCCCGGTGCAGTTTCAAAGAGGTGCCGCAAGATGGCAGTGTAGGGAAAAGGCAGAAAGCGCCCTGTCCGAAGCCCTCTCTTGACTGACAGACGCGCCGGCGAGTAGCGGAAGAGGAAGCGACCACGTGGGGCGCTCTACGGTGGCCGACAGGATGCCGCCGAGGTGTTAGCAACGAGGAGAGAAGCACCCTCGGGAGGTACGGCGAGCTACGTTTCTCTAGCTCCGGGAGTATCGAGGAGGGTACCCCGGCAGCCGTCACCATGGTGAAGGAACAGTTCCGAGAGACGGATGTCGCCAAGAAAATGTAAGGAGGAGCAAGAATGGCCAAAGGGTGGAGAAATGAAGGACAGGGGGTGCGAGGTCCGGGGTCCCGGGTCTCGAAGAGTCCGTTGAAAGGGAAGGGCCAGGAGTCAGCGGAAGGTGTGGGCAAAGATCAGAAGTATCAGGGTAGGTCAAAGAAAATTGGTCAGGCAGAGGGCAATCCAGCACCTGGGGGACAGCAGGCGGGGGGTGGTCCCTGGGCTTGGGATGTGACGTGAGCCGTGGCGATGCGCGCACCGTGGACCTACGCACGAGTCCTCCCGAGGTCATACGATGGCCTCTTCCAGCGAATCGTGGGGAGCAATCTGGGGCGGGGAATGTGTCTAATTCTGGTTTTGCTGCAGAGCATGTTAACACGGAGGCAGTATTTGCTGACTGAAAGGATAGAGTTTCCAGTTAGAAAGCTATACCACTGGGTGATGTGTAGCAGTCTCAGAAATGAGGCTGCTCTTCTGGACCTTCTCCTTCGGAGCTTATTTATCAGGCCGTGGCCTCCCCTTAGAGCTTACACGGGAAAAATGAATCAGTCATTCTTGTAACAGACGCTTAACTGAGGAAGGTGTTGTGTGCGAGGCCCAGGCATAAGCATTAGGGCTAGGACACGAATAAGACCTTACTGCCTCTTCCAGTTGGAGAAGATAGACAAGTCAGTGTTGGCAAGTGCAAGGACAAGTGTAGGTATAGTTATTTTCAGAACACCTGATGAGAAAGAGATTCAAGCAGAAGAATGCAGACCAAACAGGCTTTAAAGAGCATACTGGAGGGAGAAAAGGGGGGATGAGAAGAAAGCAGGAGATCTGAAGCTGTGTTCCAGAATTATCTTGGCACCTCTGTGCCAAGGAACCTCTGAAGCGTTTTAAGCAGGGGAGTGTCTTGATAAAAGAGTTCTCTTTTTCTCGAAGGTCTCTTGATTTTGGGGGGGACAGAATAAGAGGGAGTCATTGGATGCCACTGCAGGGGTCCAGGCAGGGGATGATGATGTCGTGTGGTAATGTCATTGGAGAGATGGATTTCAGAGGGGTTTAGGGTGTAAAATTCACAGGAGTAGTAGGAATGAGAGAAGGGAGAAATGAGATTGACACACAGAATGTCTTGCTTGGGCAGTTGTTTGCATTAATGGGGAACAAGTCTTACTTGGAGGGAATCCTTGCAGGTGATCTCTCCATATTCACCCCGGCCCCTCATGCCCACCCCAAACCCCACCCATATTCAGATGTAATCTGTTCTCACAAAGCAGCCCAAGAGAGCCTGTGAAGATGCAAATTAGATTTCTGACTCTTCAGTTTAAAACCTTCCAGCCGCTTTCTGTAGCACTAACATGTAAATTCTATACCAGTGCTCCCAAGCCCAGCATGACCTGACCCCATACACCGCACTGACTTCATCCTGTACCATTAGCTTTATGCACTCTATTATACTGGCTTGGTTAGTTTGGTCGTCGAATGCCAAGCTTGTGCTGAGTCTGGGACCCTTTGCCCTTAATGATTCTCTATTTCAAATGCCGCATCTCCGTCCCGTCTTAAAGCTGGCTCCCTCTTATTCAGAATTCAGCTTCAGTGTCAGTTTTACACAGGGGCTTTCTGACCCCACAACATAGTTTCCTCAGACTCTCTACCACTTCGTCTCATTTTCATTCTCTGCATCTATTCACTTTTGTGTTTGTATTTGCTTATTGTTTGTCTTGCCCACCCTGAACTGTGAGTTCCATGTTGGCAGGGACCTTATCTGTCTCATCTCATCTGTATCCACAGCTCCTCAAGATGGTGCCTGGCACACAGTAAGTCCCCAGTTTGCTGGTCAGATGATTGAAGGAGCAGATTTGGGGACGAAAGTGTCGGGTTCTGTTTTAGATGTGTTGAGTTTGAGGTGCCTGTGCAGTTGTGCAGAACAGGTGTTCAGATGGCCTCCCACTGAGTAGCAGTAGTTGGCCTAAAGATGGAGATTACATGGACATTAACATATACCTGAGTGACAGTCACTCGAGGGACGTCTACAACAAAAAGAAGGGGTTGAGGGTCAGATCCCCAGGTGAGGAGAGATCAGAATATTTAAGGGATGGCGTAGAAGAAGCAATCACAGAAGAAGGAACAGATGGCACAGGGCGGGGACACAGAGTATGTGGTGTCCCCAAGGCTGTAAGAGGAAAATATTTCAGGATAAGGGGGAAGGCGGAGTTAACATCCAGCACTGCAGAGCCGTAAGATGAGCACATTCTTACCAGGATTTAGCACGCAGGTGGGTTTGGTGACCTTGGTGAACACCATTCATTTGATATTAAGAATGGAAATGATTCTAGGGGGATGAAGGGGTGTTTACCAAGGAAAAATGGGAGAGACTTGAATATATTTAATAATGGAGCAGAGCCTGTAAACAGTTGGAAGAGTAAGGTTGGTTATGATGGGTCACTGTGCAATCACCTTTTTTGATAAGTGGTTTTGACGTAATTGGTCCTGTTTGTTGTTGTTGTTGTCATTTTTAATTAAGTAAGCTCTATGTCCAGCGTGGGATTTGAACTCATAACCCGAAAATCAAGAGTCATATGCTCTCCTGATGGAGCCAGCCAGGCAGCCCAGCTCCCGTTTCTTTTTATTCCAGAAGCCACATCTGTTTTGGAATGAAATCCCCTGAGGAGATGCGCCAGCAGGCCCACATCCAGGTTGTGAGTAAGAACCTGTACAGCCAGGACAACCACCATGCTCCCTTGCTGTATGGTGTGCTTGACCACAGGATGGTAAGTCCCCACCCCTCCCAGGTCGTGTGTCCTGACATGCTCATGAAACTGATGACTTGCCAGGTTGGAAGAAGCAAGAGCTTCTTTCCATCTCCCTCCTGCACCATCTCAGGGACTCCAGCCTTTGGTCAGTGGGATATGAATACTCTGCACCTTCCCAGGTGATTCTGACTCAGAGTCACCTGGTCCCACTTTCCCGTCCAGCGGTCTCCG